AAAAAAAATCTTGGGGCTATTTTCCAAATTTACAATTATCGCTAAGTTTCCTAGGATGAAAGTATTTAACCCTAAAAAGCAAAATGTCGTCTAATAATATTTGGATATCTGAATCTGCTACAGACCACTGCATGATGAAGCTCCATTAGAGTGAAGTTGAAGGGATTCATATTTGGCATTGTACTGAATGTAATATTATTTGGTGCTATCCACAATTCTCCAACAGTTAAGGATCATAGACATAGAACAAATATTAGGAGATACAAAAATTTCATGACAAGATTTTTGGCTAAGACTTGATTACTATTTCTTCCAACAAGAGATTTAACTATCTGTCCGTCACCAGGGTCCAGGACATTCTTTGAAGTGGGAAATAAATCAAGTTTGTTTATTCACCGACGCATCATGTACATTATGATATCATACGCTTCAAAGATTAATTAGAAATGCTATACCTATCACCTACGTTTGTCAATGTTGTCATTGGTGAGTGGAATGGAAAAAATATGGACTTCCAAGAGTTTAGACTAGCCCCTACAGGGTAGTCGAACGGTCCGCTTTCCCCTTTTAGGATATGGCGACCTTCCTGGCAATCAGGGTTCGAGTCCCGCTGTTAACGCGTTCGGGGGATGGGGCCTTTTCATCCGGACCGGAGTGGAATTAGTCGGGTCTCGTAAAAATTGACCCGGACACCCACTCCGTCAGAAAAAAAAAAGAGAGAAAAAAAAAAGTCAAGAGTTTAGACTAACTCGAACAGGATAGCAAAGATTAGGACTGGAATTTTCTTTTGTTTCAGAAATCCGTCAAAAAGCTGTGTACCAATCTTAATCTTCTAAGCTCTATGGGAGACAGCACAAATTGAGAGTGATGGTAAACTTAGGTGTGTATTTGTGCAAATTGTAAAATCACATCGTGGGGACGTGGCGTAAATTAAGTTTTGTTTATGCATGTGATTTCAACCACTCCCTTTTCCGACACTTTTAAACTTAAACCCTACTTCATTTGAGTACCATCCCTATAAATAGCTGCCGTTTCTTGGATTCAGTACACTCACAACTCAGAAACATTCTAAACATCATGGCTACTCACAAAGTTCTCAGTTTTGTCTTCTTTGTTTTATTGGGCATAACAATATGTTGTGAATGCAGATCACTCCTCACTTTTGGAGGAGGAGGCTACAACGAGGGCTCAGGTGGTGTTACAGGAGGGGGAGGCTTTGGCCATGGTATTGGTGGTGGTTATGGAGCTGGAGGTGGAACTGGTTATGGCCACGGTGGCGGTGCAGGCGCCGGGGGTGGTTACGGTGGAGGAGGCCATGGAAACGGTGGAGGTGCAGGAGCCGGAGGTGGTTATGGTGGAGGAGGCTATGGAAAGGGTGGCGGTGCAGGAGCTGGGGGTGGTTATGGTGGAGGAGGTGAAGGCGGAGGAGGCTATGGAAAGGGAGGTGGTGCTGAAGGTGGAGGTGGTTATGGAAAGGGCGGCGGTGTAGGAGTAGGGGGTGGTTATGGAAAGGGTGGCGGTGCTGGAGCAGGAGGTGGTTATGGTGGGGGAGGTGAGAGCGGAGGTGGCTATGGAAAGGGAGGTGGTGCTGGAGGTGGAGGTGGTTATGGAAAGGGTGGCGGTGCTGGAACAGGAGGTGGTTATGGTGGAGGAGGTGAAGGTGGAGGTTATGGGAAGGGTGGCGGTGCTGGAGTTGGAGGTGGTTACGGTGGAGGAGGTGAGGGTGGTGGAGGCTATGGGAAGGGGGGTGGTGTAGGTGGTGGAGCCGGTGGTGGTAGTGGTGGAGGTGAAGGAGGTGGTAAGGGTGGCGGTTATGGAGCTGGAGGTGAACATGGTGGAGGTGCTGGAGGAGGTTATGGAGGAGGAGGAGCTAGTGGAGGTGGATATGGCAGCGGTGGAGGAGCAGGTGGTGGACACGGAGGTGGTTCTGGTGGTGGCTATGGAGGTGGCGCTGGTGGCGGTTCAGGCTATGGTGGTGGACATGCACGCTGAGAACCAATGCGTGCATTTTATATCTACGCTTTGTTAGAGTGCTTCCCAACAATAAGTATTATCTAAGCATCTGTTTTCATTTGCCGGATAAATTCAGAATTTCATGGATTTCAGCTCTGAAGAGTTTTAAGTGTTTTGGTTATTCAGCTGTTCCCTTGGCTGCTGATCAATGTAACCGCACTTAATAACTGGTGGTCATTTTAAATATGTATCCCTTTTTCATGTTTCCAAAAGTAACAATAATAAAGATCTGTACCCCTTGTTTAATCTAGTAGATCTTCTCTCTTATGTTTGCTGATTAATTACCCGGCATAACTCAAGAAGTTCGATATATATATATATAGACATTTCACTTTCATGAAGCATGGCAAATAAACATATATGTAATACAACATGGTGAATGTGTGTGTGTGCTGTTTATGTGTGTGTTAAAGATTGTCGATACAGTGGCAAATGACAAAGGAGATTATTGTTGCACCTAAACATATGACCTAAAGGGTGAAGACCACAAGTGATGGTGTTAGGATGGATTTTGTGTATCCATATCTACACCAAACCATTCTTCTTCCTCCTCATTAACATCATATCCTTTCAGTTTCACGTGTCTTTGAATATGAGACTATTTGAAATAATTACTATAACATTTTTTGTATCTCTTAGGTTACAAGTCAAAGGAAAAAGTTCAGGTCATCAACTTAAATTTGCGACGGTCGGCAAAATCTCTCTGAACTCAATATATATGACTTTTTTTTTCAAAAAAAAAAAAGAGAGATCAATAATAATTTCTTTGCTTACTCTTTTGATAACTGGAACTCATGATCAATCAATTATAAGTCAAGCGTTTCACTAATTAGATTGCACCTGTGAATAAAATTATTTAGTAACATTCCTTCTACTTATAGAAGAAGACTAGTGTGAAGGAGTTAGTTAACATGGTCTTTGTAGAAGAAGTGAAGTAAGGAAGATATTGGCTGTAACTTCGTCGGTAAAAATTGGCCTTACGAATTTGAAATTCATGTTAGCAATTAGAAACTCAAACAGTAGCAAAATTGGCATACTTAAGATTTGCCTTTTGTACTGAGTTATTTGTTAGATTACGGTATTTGAGAATGTAGAATCTCAAAGTATACAATACAAAATTTGGGCTAAGGTTCTATGTCCAAACTTTTACCCAAACAAGGTGGCTTACTAATTAATGCAACCTTTTGCTGTAAAAGCTTACCAATACAACTAGGGGTGGCAACTATGCAATTACATGTTTACGTTATTAAAATTACTTCATAGACGGGTATGAATAAATTTAGTTAAATGGATTGATTTACCACCTCTATCCATGACTAACATACTCACCAGGTTCACAATCTACCTTGAACAGTTAATATTCCTCTACCGGTCATAGGTTAAAGATTGAGAAAGTAAGAGTTTTCATAATTCAATTGCGATTAGTCAAGGATTGAGAATGCAAAGCGTTCTACAAAGTTAAATCCTAACTTAATAATACCAAATAAAAACTTCGATTTACCTGTGGTCCACAGGTAAATCGAAGCCTATTTTTAATTTAGTATGGCCGGCAAAGTTGCTCGGCTGTTAGCCATAGTCACACAGGTTTCTTGTAATTTTAGGTCGTGGTATTGATGAAAACTGTTTATGATCTGTGAGGAAATTAAGAAGGGTACTATGAGTAAACTTTATCTCAATATTTATGTATCAATTAATAAAAAAAAATGGTTTTCAAGATTTGATTGCTTCAAGTCAAATGCTTGATGCAATAGAGAACTACACTTTGAATTTGTGAACTTCAGAATAGCTTTAGTACGTCTCTTTTTTAACTTAACTATGACTTTATTAACAATAGGTTAGTGATATATAAGTCAGCTGATATATAAGTTATCATTTTTAATAAATATTGCACATTTCTAGTATTCTATTAATTTTTAAATTAATAACGTTGAAGTTCATGGGCTTACACTCGAGGCTTTCACCTTGTCCAAAAACAGCATAAAACGTCCTATCCATGCCACTGCCTTTTACACATTGTTACAAATTTTAATTATTGCTAACTTCGTGACCATAAAAATATTAAATGATTAAGCAATGAAAAAAGAAAGAAAGAAAATTATCTAATTTTTTGATATCTACATCTGCTAGGCGACTACATGCCTAAGCTCTATTAAAATCAAGTTGAAGGGATTCACATTCGGCTTTGAACTGAGAGTTACATAGCCATGTCCAAGTCCAATAGGTCAATCGTCAGTGGCTATCCACAAATATTTTTTTTTTTTTTTTACGTAACGATACTTCTAATCTAACCTAATCTACTCCTACTGAAGGAAGCCTACTCTAGGAAGTGGCCCAACTGAGTCGAGGGAACTTGATGAGGGTTGAACCACTATTAAATCAGATAGGGTGCATCATACATTCATACGGATTTAGAACAAGTCTCATATAGAGACATATTGACGGGAGGCATGGTTTAAACTCTTAATCTCCTACCTCACAATTAATAATTAATGTGGTAGCCAACTCCTCTAGAGGGGAGAGTTGGTTAAGCGATCCACAATTCGATGACACCCTAAAACCATTTTTCTACGAGATCACAATTATCTAAAAATAGAATTTTCTGCCGACGCCTGCACATTCTTTCAAATGGGAAAAAAAAAAAGTTTGTTTATTCACCGACTGATCATCATGAATAAGATATCATATACTTGTAAGATTATTAATGCTATGTGCAATTTTGTCAACTTCATCCTTGCTGATTCAACTTGAGTGAAGTGGAAAATTTGACTTGATGAAATGCTAACTCTAACTTGTACAGGATAAGAAACGTTCGGTCTAGATGTTATATTTTGCTCTATTTCAGAAATAAAATAAAAATCTTTGTGCCAATCTTAATCTTCGAATTTCTATGGGAGACAGCAAATTCACACTACACGTAAGCATGCAAATAGCTAATGTAAGAGTTGAGAGTGATGGCAAACATAAGTGTCAGTGCGAATTGCAAAATCACTTTGTAGGGACGTCCGTCCAACTCTCTCTTTATGCATGTGATTTCAACCACTCCCTTTTCTCGTACGCGCTTCTAAACTTATACCCTCTTTCGATTGAGCATCAGCCCGGGCCTATAAAGAGCTGCCATTTCTTGTATTCAGGACACTCACAATTCAGAAACATTCTGATCATCATGGCTACTCACAAAGTTCTGAGTTTTGTCTTCTTTGTTTTGCTGGGCATAGCAATATGTTGTGAATGCCGATCACTCCTCACTTTTGAAGGAGGTGGCTACAATGAGGGCCCAGGTGGTGTCACGGTAGGGGTTGGCTCTGACCATGGTACTGGGGCTGGCGGAGGAGGCGGTTATGGCAGTGGTGGTGGTGTAGGAGGTGGAGGTGGTTATGGTGGAGGAGGTGAAGCTGGTGGAGGCTATGGGAAAGGAGGCGGTGCAGGAGCAGGGGGTGGTTATGGTGGAGGAGGTGAAGGTGGAGGAGGCTATGGAAAGGGTGGCGGTGCAGGTGCTGGAGGAGGTGAAGCTGGTGGAGGCTATGGGAAAGGAGGCGGTGCAGGAGCAGGGGGTGGTTACGGTGGAGGAGACGAGGGAGGAGGAGGCTATGGAAAGGGTGGCAGTGCAGGAGCTGGAGGAGGTGAAGCTGGTGGAGGCTATGGGAAAGGAGGCGGTGCAGGAGCAGGGGGTGGTTATGGTGGAGGGGGTGAAGGTGAAGGAGGCAATGGAAAGGGTGGCGGTGCTGGAGCTGGAGGCGGTGAGGGTGGTGGAGGCTATGGGAAGGGCGGTGGTGTAGGTGGTGGAGGTGGATATGGTGGTGGAGCAGGTGGTGGTTATGCTGGAGGGGGTGAGCATGGAGGAGGTTATGGTGGAGGAGAAGGAGGTGGTAAGGGGGGTGGTTATGGTGGAGGTGAAGGAGGTGAAGGAGGTGAAGGAGGTGGTAATGGTGGTGGTTACGGAGCTGGAGGTGGACATGGTGGAGGTGCTGGAGAAGGTTATGGTGGAGGAGAAGCTAATGGAGGTGGATATGGCAGCGGTGGAGGAGCAGGTGGTGGACACGGAGGTGGCTATGGAGGTGGTGCTGGTGGTGGTTCAGGCTATGGTGGTGGTGGTGGTTATGCACCTTGAGAACCCATGCATGCAATTTAAATCTAAGTTTACGTGGCAAACTTACCAATAATATGTACTAGTATCTTATAAGCGTATCATTATCTGTTTTCTCTTTTTCCTCTTTAATTCAGATTTCATGGATTTTCAATTCTTAAGAGTGAAGAGTTACTATAGTCAGTCAGCTCTACTGAACTTAATATTTAGTGTTTGTTCAAGGCATCTTCCTCGTCTAATCCTGTAGTATTTTCTTTTGAAGATCATTTCTGTTATGGTTGCTAACCAAGATAAAATTGATAATCTTGAATATGGACTTTCTGACCATAACTTCCACTAGACTTCATGAAGCGAATTCAAAAGACTGAGACAATCATAAATTGAATGGCATCAAATATACAGATGATCTCTAGTTCAGTTGGCAGCAAAATTGTGCCTAGTTATGCCTAGCTCTTAATCCAAATTATTGTCCAACACTCTGAAAGTCTTTACTTTTTTTCCCTGATACCATTCCAATGCATACTAAATGGGAAATCTATGGCTTCATTTGGATTGCATTTTTCTGAATTTTTTTGTAAAAAAATTATTGTAACGATTTGATATATGTGAGGTAACAGGTGATTGAAAAATGTGTTCATGAAAAATATAGTAATTTATTTTTACTTTCCATTTTCCTCCCATCACTCTCTTCACTTTTGCACGTTCGAGAAGGTTGTGTTTCTTAATCATGTCGACTTCTCCATCATCTTCCATCTTCCCCATGTTAAAGGGGAATTTTTCTGCATAATATTCTAGGACCTTTCTTTCTATTGTGGTGCCTGCAACAGTAGATACATGTTAGTCCATTCCATCAAAATATGGACCATAATGAGCAGAAGAATAGTGAGACTGCTAATTTGCTCAAAAACAAGTAGATGTAATGGATGCCGGATGCACCATCTCAGTTCTGATCTCTAACAGAACCTGTACAATTCCATTCCACCATGAGAAAGTTACCATGCATAACCGATGCCTTGTAAAATTACAAAGATTCATAGAAGGAAGGCTGCAAGAGCAAAACGCCTCAAAAAGTTTAAATTCAATCTCGTGCCTGTGTAGAAATCTAGCATAGTTATGAGTTGGGATGCTAATTTCAAGTATCAAGATACACAAGCTAGCGGGATGTTAAACCATACTATAACACAAAGAAGGGTAACAGTGCAAGAAGAAGAAGCTCCATCAGCAACATTCCAATGGTTCGATTGAGTGAGAATTCCTCGATCGAGTTCATCCATGACTATGATCACCAGTTGCTTGGAAATTTCTATTGAGCCTGCAGGTGATCCCTGCATCATCAGGTCTTGGGCTACTGTCCTCTTTCCTGTTCAAATTGAGGAGGAAGTTTTATAACAACCTTCTGTTATTTCTTACTTCTTTTGTCATTTCGCTTTTTTTTTCGTTCCCTAGTCACTAAATGTTACCTTGTGCTGCTGCAAAATTTTTTTCCCTTTTTTTTTACTTACTTTTCCCCATATGGTTCCAGTAATTATTAGATTATCGTATCATGCACATAACTTGATTTTGCTTAAATATCTATTCTAGTGATAGAATTAAGAATCTCCAAAATATCAGGATAATTGATGGTAAACGCTAGTGGTTTAGAACAATTTTAAGCGTTATCAAATGGAGCTTCTCCTAACATATTATCTAAGTAATTTGTTTACTTTTAAAATTTTAATTAGAAATTTAATTCAATTAGTATAAATTTAATACTGTCTTGTATTTTCTTTTTGTTAAGAATTTTTCTTTTTCTCCTGTGAGACAAGAAACCAAAGACTTTCTTTGTTTAATATATGCAGTCATTAAGCTTACATCTTGCTTTGATTCAAAGATGTGACTTATTTAAGTGGCCTCCTCATCTAATTTAAGTTATTGTCATAAAGAAGCAATTTCTTGCTTTAATTACTATATATTTGATGTAATTACAGTATTAAAATTGTTAAAAATTACTAGTCCCTGGTTGCTTTCATCAAAATAAGTTAAAATTACAAAACCTTTGAAACTAACAAAAGGGTTTAAATTATATATTAAAGAAACTTAGGATTTGAACCCTGTGCTTAACAGGAAGAGTTCTAAACCAACTTGAGTGGTGGCAGAGAAAAAAATTTAATAAATAAGTGCCTAAGCCTTTTAGTGTATTAACCACCAAAATCTATATTTATATAACCTTGTCTCCCCTTGTGCCTTATCCTCATTGTTACTTGAGTTCAATATTTTGCTATACCTACATTCCCATATTAGAGCAAGTAGTAAGCCTACTACTCTATTAGTGGTTGAACCAAATAATAGGAGTACCTTGCTTACTAGGTGTCTATCATTTTCTACACCAAATCTTTCTTCCTCCTAACTAACATCGTACCTGCTCAGTTTTACATCGTCTTCGATCTTTTAGAGTACAAGTTAAAGGACAAATTACTGGTTATTAACAAGTGGGAAAGCAATCTTCATAGCCATGGCAAATTTAGACACCATACTGAAGAGAGGTATAGTGTCTAATGCAAAATAAATTGCAAAGTTCGCCAACCTCTCTGTAGATAATAAATGAAAGACCTCACAAACTTTTAAGTAAAATTACCTGGCAGTATTCCTTCCTAGATACAGAGGAAGATTGTGTTAAAATTTCGCTCAGAAAATCGCTTAGTCTTTTATAGATGACAATATTTCCCCTTGATTTTAGCCAAATGTTGGTTTCATGTTAGGAAAACATTATAATCTTATTTAAATAAACTCTAGTAGTGTGTTTATTGATTAGAACAGGGTTTTTCTAGTTTCTAATGTAATTAAGAAATTAAATTCTACGAGTTTACCTAGGGTTATTTCTTGATTATAAAAGTAGTTACCAAACGTATCTTAACTATCGAGATGGTAAGAAAAAGTTGGTTATCATCACTTATTTGGTAATTATAACCTGTTTATTAATGGATAGATGAAATAATTATTGCATCGATGATCAGTTGCATAAACCACTTTCGAAGTTATTTCCTTGGCTAGAGTTTGCGTATTGTTGATTTAATTTTAATTCTCTTTTATTTGTCAGTTCTTCTTTAAGTAGTTTGTTTAGTTTAATTTCAATTTTTCAAAACCCTCTTTTAGTTCTCACTTGGAAAGAAACCAATTTTTTCCAATCCCTATGGAGACGATCCTACTCACCACTATATGCAAATTTTCATTTTTTTAGCAAGTTTTTATTATTGTATAGACCTAACACCTATCAATTTTTGGCGTCGTTCTCGGGGATTGGCGTTGATTAATTTGTTTCTTTTTGTGTTCATCTTATTTTTATTTTTATTTTTCTCATATCTATATATTTTACTAATTTATGGTTGCTAACATTCAGTATTTTGGTAATATACCAGATTTTATTTCTATGAGGGATAATGATGTTCGTGTTTTTTCTAATGATCAATATTTAGATACACTAACCTCTCTTATATAAAAATTGGATGTTGGACAGATGCAACAAGTTAGAACCTGTAGAATTGGTGATGACTTAGGTCATTCAACCGACATATGTCCCATACTTTAAGATGATTTGAATGTTCAAATTAATACTTTTGAAAATTTTTCACCCATGTCTCAAATGTGGTATGACCCTTATTCAAACGTATATAATTAAAGATGGTGGGATAACGCCAACTTTAATTATGTAACAAGGGCAACAGGTTTTCAACATCAATATCAACAGCAACAACTATCATCCGTGTCAGGTATGTCTCTTGAAAAAATGACGAAATTACTAACTACTAACATATCATTTTCAACAGAAAACACAAATGAGAATTAAAAGGATGGATGATCAAATGCGTCAATTGACATCCACAGTGAGCTAATTGATTTCTCCAATTTGTGAAAAATTGCTCTCATAGACCATTATCAATCTTGAGAAAAATGAGAGTGCAATTACTCTAACAAATGGCGAGAAATTGCAAGAGTCCTAAGAAGAAGGATCTAAAGGTACAGTTGAAAAGGAAGCCGAAAAGGAAGAAATGAAACCTCAACCTTAAATCGCTCAAGTGAACGAATCCAATGAAGAATTACCAAATATGGTGACACCTCCTCCATCCCCCAGTCGACATTCTCTTGACTCTTATTCTGTAATTTCTGTTAGTGAAATCAATTTTGTTATACCAGAAGTTTTTGAATTTTATGGCAAGAATAAGTTAGAAGTTGCGATGGCCAAATATCTTGAACCAAGTACTCATGATAGAGAAGTGAATGAAGAATTAAGGTCACTATTTAACTGTTTGGCAAGATCTACTAGTTAATGGAAGAAAGTAACTCGTGTGCTTGAGAATCACTCAATTTACGAGGGTTATCAGAATTGCATAGAGGATAAAACACTGAAACAAGTTACACGATTTTATGCTCCTTGAACAGACATGGCAATGTCTAACCAAAGACATTAAAGAAATAAGCTTATTGGGAAACAACCCAATTCACTTTTTAATTCATTTTTATTATTAGTTTCATTATGTTTATCTTAGATTTTTCATATTTGGTGTGTTTGATTTTCATTTTACTATTTTTGTGGTCAGAAGACTTCCTTCCGACAAGACATGCCCATGTCTTAAGAGCACGTTATAACGCGCAAATACCCAACTCCACCATCAGAAGAGTACCGCACAACAAGATGTGCCCATGCCTAACTGACTGGAAAGTTCATGTTTTGATTTCAGAAATTCTGACAGATGACTAAACAACAAGACGTGCCCACATCTTGAGGGCACGTTGTAATTCGAACTCGCCATCAGAAGATTTCAGACTAACAAGATGTGCCCACAACTTGTTCCAACAAGGGAGAAAAAAAAATGACAAAAAGATTTTTTTTTCTTTCTTTCCTTTTCTTCCCCGCGGATGGTCCGTCGCTGTGACTTTTTCTGCTGTCATCAACTCTACAACTTACAGCAATTCGTCGGCCAACATAGAGAACTACTAAACGAGGCATCTCACCTGTGTGGCCAAGTTCATTAAATGGATGGTCGGTTGGCCAACGTCAAGCTCTATGTGTTTTTTGCCCCTCATCCATAGCTGTCATGCCCCCCTTATTAATCAGGGAAGTTTCGTTATTCCCATTACTTTTCTTTTATTATTTATTTCTTACATTGGGGACAATGTAAGATTTAGGTGTAGGGGGTAGTATATTGATAAGTGCAATTGTAGACTTTTTTGTTCAATTTTATCCAAT